AGTACTAAAACGCGCTATCGAAAGGTAGATGTGAAGAGAGTTAAGGATGAAACTTTAGATGCAGCCGGCTCGTATGGCCTTAGCGTTGCCGCCTCATTATTTGTCTGCATTCACAGCACGTTTGGAACGATAGCAGCTCATTCTATCCTGCAAGCATTGTTTCATTTGCGACACATCAGAGCATGTAACTGTAAATACGGAGTCCTCCCTTCAGTCTTAATCGTCAACATTCTAGCAAAGTAGGTCAATCTGGTGCCCTCAAGATCAGGTAAATCTAACAACTTTGGTTTGGGGTTAATTTTTACAGGAGGGATGACAAGATGGGGCAAGTTACCTCCGTCCAGTTTTGTATTGGCACTTATTCAGTTTTTGATGTCCACCCTTCGATAGATAGTGAAAATTTAATTCATCCTTATGTTTGTATCGGACAGTTATGGGGAAGGCAGTACTAATAAACAAAGAGAGTGTAATGAAATGCTTTTCTTTGATGAACGATAACAACGTGGATATAGCGGGGGCTGTGGTCGCTTGACTAATTAAGCCAATTCTACACAGTTTATCTGCACGAATCGAAAATAAAAATAAACACTAAAAAGTGGACTGATCGAAAATCAAAATTTAAGCTGACCCTCAGAGCTCTCGAGGGACGCTAAGGAAGTCATTTGTCGAATACCGGCGTGAATATGCGATCTAGGCAGCTTTTTGAGGTGTCCTCGATGATTAAGTGTATGGCTACGTCGAGATGCTAGGTCAAATTTCACATTACCCAATCTGTTGAATATTTTGCACATTCCAATAAGGTCTCCTCCCTGAAGTCTGGTTAGGCGTCGCAGTGGACTTCGATTTCAAGTGAAGACTGTAAGTGAAGTCATCTGGTTTTAAAATTTCGTCAAAACCTTAATGTTGTGGACGAGGTGCTGAAACCAAGCCGACACAGCGTATTCGAGGTGAGGCCAAAAGAGAGTCAAATACAACCTATAAAATGATGTCTAGTACTATGAAGGAAAAGCTCTAGACTAACCCTGGCGGCAGCTGTTAAACAGTGCTTTGACGGAGCCAGATTGGCAGAGAATATATCAGTATATTTCGCTAGCGGAATGCCTTCGTCATCTGACATTGTGGCCAAGCATATTATTAATCTTAACTCAGGATTCCTTGTGAGGAATTTGGATTTCTGAACAATTATTGACTTATATTGGTCAACCCGTACAGACACTAACCAGATCTTCTAGAACAGAATTGCAGTTCTCAGTTAGGCCTGCAAACACGTGGCAGTTATTAGAAACTATCCCAAAGAAGTCAGTAGCCCATTGGGGCCAGTTCTAGCGGACATTTTAATGTCTAATCTCAAGCAAAAACTATCCCGGAACTTAGAACGAGCCTCATTCTATAGGCAATATGTGGATGACATTTTCGCCATAGTAAAAAACCCAGGCGACGGAGAACAAGGCACATGCAAAGATCAAATTTACGATCCAGCACGAGACGAACAACACGCTGCCTTTCCTGCATATTCTTGTACGTAGGCGGGTAGATGGCTCCATTCAGAGATCCATCTATCGAAAACCCACCTAAAAAGGACAATACATGCACTTCCTTAGTTTCGTTCCAATTCAGAGGAAACGGAACTTGGTTTTGTGTCTGGGCCACCAGAATCTGCTCCTCAGGTACGATTGATGACGAATTCGCTTTCCTAAAGAACGTTTTTTCTTGCAAACGGGTATCCGGAGAAATTCATCGATAAATACCGCCATCCATACACGCTGATCTGATGAAGTCGCTAAATAAACAAACCGTAGACGAATCGTTTCCAGTAAATCCAGACGACTATATTATTAACATGTCGGATTTGAAACTGACTAAACTGCAAGCCGAGGCCCTCTCTTTGGGACTTGAGTTTTGTGTGCCGAGAAGAAAAATAAATCTGACGGAGATTGAGGCTCAATTTGAAGACCTATATCACCAATTATCAGAATTAACACCGACGTCAGAGGACAATGTGAGATGGTTAAAAGCGAGATTCGTAGATATCGCCTATCAATACAGAACTTTCCCGACTACGCATCGCTCACTACTATCCAGACAACACCTCTCGGCCCTAACTGACCTATGTAAGACTACTGAAGTCGTCATCTCAAAACCTGACAAAGAAGGCGGAGTCGTAATCCTAAACAAGACTAATTATGTGGGAAAGATGGGAGTGATATTGAGTGACTCCAACAAATTTCCCTCGGAAAACCTTGAGAAAGAAACAAAAGCGCTAGAAGACCTTATTGGGAAAAAGGTAGAATCGGTACTTGAAAAGCAACTAATAGACGAGAACATGGTTGCGTGTCTTAGGCCTGTTGGTTCGCATATTCCCAGACTATATGGGCTGCCAAAATTGCAGCAGTCAGTAGTATAAATAAGGAAGAATACCAAGTCTGTCGAAGTATTACTATGACCTGGCACCAAAGGCGACGTGCTGTCCGAACGGGCACACGTTAAATCCTACGTTCAAGAATGCTCCTAATCCAAACAAATACATTTCTGGATATACCATGACAGTAAAGCTGTTCAATATTCAACCCGTGGTTAACTGCGTACGAAGCCTTACTTGGGTGTAGACAGACGGTCTGGACATTTTTCCTACTGTACGGTCTCCCGCTCGAGATTTCTGGTGTAATGAGAAGCTTAATAAGACGTTATCTTCCTTTGGGGAAGCCATATTGACTAGGACTTATGACTTTACATTGTTTCAAAAAATTACAAAAGCTCTAAGAGGATTTTCATCAAGATTTTACGTACTGCAGTAATGAGGCTGGCTGGACAGTTCGCAGCTAGCCATTTCGAATCTTATTTAGATCATGGCCGTGTTACTAAGGCTCGTTTCCAGTCATTCGAGATGGTGGCTATTCTAAGGCGAGTATTCAACAAATTGTGTTGCAGGGTGGCTAATATAGGAGCGAGAAGTTTCGAGAGGGCTGACCGCAGAGAGCTCGGTCTTGGGGTTTTGATAAGTTCAGAGTTCAATAGGTAGCGCTCAAATTCAGGCGACTCACTGACCATGTTCGACACTTGGAAAGCCGCCCTGAGCAAACTGTCTCGTAAGTACCGAGTCAATCTTGTCACTACTTTTGGTGCCCGTGGAGTACATCTAAATACTGATTGCTCTTTATTTATTTATGCCAGAAAAATTCCTTCTCCGGCTCTGTTCTAGCAGGCGCTGCTAGTTTATTAGCGTAAGTGCCTAACTACAATGAAGACCTTATTTTTCACCCTCGTACCCATAACCACTGTCCAATGTCTTATGTATTCGGTATACATGTCAGAGTCGGTTTCCCCGGGGCAACGCGACGCAGACTTCTACTTATAATTCGCGGGCGAGTGCCCTTAGACTCCAAAACCATTTCTGTGAGCACATATGCATCCACAGGCTCTAGGTTCATCTTGATGAAAACCCAGGCGGTAACTGTGACAGATCGTTGGTCTAAATCAAAAGCAGGTCACTGTAGTTGGGAAACCATATTTCACAGAACTCCAATGTCGATACGTCAGTAAAGTTTAGTCACGTTAAAGAGGGCAATGGAGACGGCCTCGATGACGAAGGGGTGTAACTCCGCAATCAATGTTACCTGCTGCATTAATGGAAACCTCGATTTCAACTCAAAGCAGAACTGTGGCAGGTCCGCATGAAAACGTGTAAAAAAAGCAACAGCTGGGTCCTGGAAGTTGTCTTGTGAAAAAGTTACAAGTTTTCTTTAGCATTATAAGATACCATACTGGCAGCATAGGCAATAGCTAAAAGCCCAGACACGCATGTTTCGCTGATATTCTGCCGCTGCATGGCACAGTTGCGAGGGGATCGGCTCGTCAGTGGGACCCCAGTACCTGTGCTGCTAGCATGGTGTCTTCTAACGCCAAAATATACTACTAGCTGCCTGTCGGCAGTTAATGAATATTACGCGGTTATCCCGCGGTGGCTGATGGACTTCGGCCCAAATATTCATACATCAAATTTTGGTCTGCGCCTATAGACCTTAGGATAAACTGACCTACTCCAAGTTAACAGTCTACTTCTCCGGAAATTAAAAATTAACAAGAGTAGAAGTCTAAAATCAGAAGAGCTTTCACTGTCACTCGCAGTTGACAGTTTACAGAGCACTAAACTATGAAATAACGGCTTGTAGCTACACGACGTTAGAGCATCAATTATCCGTATATCCTCGGCAACTTGAGCGTCCAGGATAGACTAGATGACGGACAACACTTGGCCAGTGAATATGGAGAACTTGAGGTTTGTGACA